TGTATATATATATATATATATATATAAAATAAATTTATTAACAATCTTTTTGGTTGCTCACGATTGCTCGCATAAATTAAAAAAAGCAAAACAAATTTTGCAGTTATATTTGATAATTAATAATAAATGCTAGTAATAATCATTTGTCGATTGAACGTATAGCTACATATTTTACATCGCGATCGTGAGAATTTTGTGTTATTATATGCATACGGAATGTTTTCTCTGTAATTTCATGAAATTTTGCGCGTTGTTTATTATATAATATTTTATAATGTAAATTTTTTGTAATATGTTATGTATAACATAAAGTAAATTGTATAAAAAGTAATGTAAGTAATAAAAATGTAAAGAAATATATCATAAAATGGAGTAACTTTAGCCCCTATTTTGTAATTCTTACAATTAAGAACAATAACTGTAAATATCATTATGTATTGTCATTGAGTAGATTTCATACATGAAAAAACTACGCAACGATAATATAACAACGTCGACACTATCATTAAGAATTACAGAATAAAAGCCTTCGTCCCAGAAACTTTGATACAAATTATAAATATACATATGCAATACATATGTCCAAAATTATGATATAAGACTTTTAAAACTTTTTTAAGACAATAGTTCGATCAATTCTTTATAAGATTACTTGTTAAGATGTCATATGTTCAGATTTTGCATGCTATATTATCAAAATTTGGGCTAAATTTATTCTGATTTTGGACAAAAATTATCCCATTTTATGATATTGTAGAGGAAAGAGGACCGCCGATCAGCTGGCAGGGAATATGGTGGAGGGCCTCTATAAATTAACTTGTTTTTATCAAATTATATGAAAAACGTATATGCATAATTCGAGTGTAACATATTTTATAACTTTTTTGTATAGTATGTTGGTTTAAAAGTTAAAGAAAAAAGGAAAATGGAAGAACTGAAATAGCAAGCTGACGTTCTACGTTATTTGTCACTATTTGATGTTAAAATGATGTCTTCAATATTGTTTTGATATCAAAATTACGACAAATAATGTGAACTTGCTAAAGTAAAAAAAAAGAGGACCATCGATTATAATCGATGGGAATGGTGGAGAGCCTCTACAAGTTGAATTGTATTTGCCACATAATCTGGAAAATGTATAGAAGTAAATTGATTATAAGGTATTTTATGATTTTTTTGTATAGTGTGTTGTATTAAAAGTAAAAAAAGAAAAAGAAAGAATTTTCAAGAAATAAGCTAATGTTATTTGTCATCAACATAACGACGTATTAAAATAATATCAGTTTGCTAAAGTTAAAAAGAGGACCATAATAGCTACATTCAGCAGAGAAAACAGCTTTGCAACTGCTGAAAAATTCTTATAAGATTTTTCAATATAGTTTATTTATATATTTAGATCCATAAAAAAACAATGGCAAGAACGAATCGTCTTGAAGAATTTTACAGTTGCAAAGCTGCTTTTTCTTCTAAAGCTAATATTTATATTTATACTGGAAGTTAATATAGTTCTAATAAATCTATTGTGCATGTGCAAAAAACCGCATCCAAATACATTAATCGACAGTATGTATAGCTCCGTAGTTCTCAATAGTATTTATTCACATAAGAAGAAAAATATATAACATTGCATGTATTTTAATAACTTTCCAAATTAGTATTTCAACAAAAGATGCCATTACAAGCGTTTAAATATTTATTTCTATAATCATTGTTTGTGCTTAATAATTACAAAATTTTATTATTCTTTTTCTTATCACTTAATCTCGGGATGTACATATAGATACATATTTTATATACAATTGTATATAATTATATATACATATTTATATATAATTAATAATCTATTTCCGTATGGAGCACCGCAAAGAGGTGGGTATTGTGTAGTTAACATTCACTTCTTCAGAGAGCGATAGTGCGCGGCAGCATTTTGCGGTTACAGGTTTTGGGCTGCCCTCTCTCAGGTTTTCTCTTTGATATTCAGTCTATATGCGTTCTTAACCTCGAATTGAGATTACTTCCAATAATAGTTTTATAAAAGTGAATAAAAAAACGCTTACTGTTAATAAATTATCATGTCACTTGCGCGACAAGGACAGGTTTGTGTCTTACTGATATTCCATATACTGATATAATAATATTGCAATCTTTACACTTGTTACTTATAATTTGTAGATATTTGTCACAAACGTGCTTGGTTATTTTTGTAGTCTCAAAAGCTAATTAATTTACAATTGTTTTTGACTTATTTTCAGCATTGGGGTACATTTGCTCGTATTTGGCATGTTTATGATGCAAAATGGCAAGATCCATATAAGAGTGCTGAAATAATAAAACATTATCTTTTAGGAACGTACAAGCCAATATATCATCCACTAAGTGGGTATTAGTATCCGTTAGTTTTCTTTTTTTTCTTATTATTCTGGAACTTTTATATATAATTTAAGTAATTATTTATTTCGGTACCAATTTAAATTTATTAATATAATATATTCCTCAAAAATTTTTGTCCTTTCAGAAAAAAATGATTTATACAAAGATAATCCAAAAGGGAATGAGTAATGACAAAATATTTTCGAAGAAATTAATGGAATCATATTTAATTTACTTCAAAAGATTTACATTATTTTTTTCTGACATATTTTTATATAAAATAGATATATGAAGTATTTCATAAACTGTCAATTTTTTTGTAATAATCTTGCACAGAATAAGATGCAAAAAAATGCTTTTAAAGGAATTAAATAAAAATTAAATAAAATTGATAATTATGCATAAATTTTTAAATAAAAAAGTCACAATTAAAAAAGAAAAAAATATTCTTATAACTGTTAATATATACTTAATAATTTTCATTAGGCAATTGCGGCGATCATGTAGTAGTAATAAACAGCAAGGAAATTGCCTTACGCGGAGACGAGTGGCGAAAACGTGTATACTTTCATCATACTACATATCATGGAGGTGCCACTTGGACTCTTGCATGGGAATTACATCATAAGGATCCAACTTTGGTAATTAATTTAACTCATGATTGAAAATGTATAATAATGTAAAATATTATTAGCTATTTTATAACATAACTATATACATGTGTATGATTGGAACAGATTGTAGAAAAAGCTGTATACAGGGCATTACCGAAGAATTTACTACGAAGGCATACCATGCAAAGATTACATATATTTCCAGATGAAAAGATACCTGAAGATATGTTGAAAAATATTAGTAATCAAATCAAACAACTAAGAACTGTCCCTGTACAACTAAATCGTATTCCACAGACGGAAGTAAATAACTTCCCACAACTTTTAAGATATCCCGAAAATTATATTCTTAAATAAGTTTAATACTATATGATAATATAGATAATAAATAATAAGTATATATATATATATACATATATATATATGTATATTGTATATATTAATACCAAAACCTTTCATAATTCTTATAAGTCAGTAAAGTTTAAAAATATTTGCTCTTTCAGATTCAAAATTAGAATTTTATTATTAAAATTCTAATTTTGGAACTGGAATAATATATCATTACGTAATAATATACACTTATGTAAAATCTAATTATAACTGTGTATACAAATGCAAAGTTAGTTATATATACATGTGTGTGTATATTAAATGCAAAGCATAGTTATATATATTATACATATGTGTGTATATTAAATTAATATCAAATATCATATTAAAATTTCTCCCATTTCTCCATAATTCTATCCGATTCGTTATCGTTATCATTCACAATTACAGAATACGTTTGTGAAGTATTCCATTTACTTTGTTTTTGTTTATCGGGTGGTTCTTCGGATTCTGGATCTCTTGATTCAATTGTGATGTCAGCATTTCGTGGGAGTGACAAATTCCTTCCGTACAGTTCTGAGTTTTCTGCATCGAAATCATACGAATTACGCAAAATAGGTACATCGCAGAACTGACATTGCGGCTCCTCATATATGTCTTCTAAGGATGGGTGAAAGATTTGGCCGCATATCGGACAGACACGGTACTCCAACAAAGTTATCTGCAATAATGTCATGCAACATCTAGGTAGCTTGTGACCACGCGGACACGCTCTGACATGCCACATTCCATCTATCCTTTCACCACATAGATTACACTTTTCAATTTGATTCGAATAGAACGTAGTCATGTTTAATATTTCTTGAATACGCTGATTTGTACTTTTGTTCTTTGAATCCTCAACTGATGGTATGCCTTTATATATTTCTAAATATCGTCTTAATAAAAACACTGTAAACGTCTGATCCTCTGATAATATACTCTTCTTCATTAACTTTTCCAGATATGTACAAGCAGAATGTAGAAAAATTAATGGAAGCGCTTCCGTTATCTTACTCTCTCTTATGTGATCCATATTTGGTATTGGCTTCTTTGTTGTGCACACATTCATTATTACTGTCATCCACATTGATACTTGCAGTTGGTAGAGTGATAATGATTCAAGATTCTTCGACATTGGGCGAAATATTGTACATGGATCTTTTGCCTTGATAGCTTTCAGTCTGAAGATTTCCATACAATCCCAGATATTTCCGAGATTTGTACTATCATTAATAATGGATACTGGATCACAAAATTTGCTTTTTAAAGTGAATATATGCATTATACTTGGTTCTCTTGTCACCAAATGATCATATACCATATTTGGACTAGTTAAATTTACAAATATTACTTTATTTGGAGAATGAGTAAGTCCAAAATATTGAACATGTGCCTGTGGTAGATGACTTTTAATATTAATACTAACTAAATCATTTGCTATATTAATAATGAAAATATGACTGTCCTGTGTAGAGATTAAGAATTGTTGAGCAATAATAGGAACTACACCTGAAAAAATAATTGAACATATAACAATAAATAATATATTGTAACATATTTCCAAGATTAATAAAAAAATGTTTATGTAATATAGAAAAAAAACAAAATATATTTGTAAAATTTGATTGCAATATAATTCTCAAAAATCTTTACCTGTGATGGTAAATCCTTGTGCATGCAAGTATTGCATATTTTTCAATTCTCCTGTTATACTTATGCATAATACCAAGACAAAAGAACCTTTGATAGCAAGAATCTTTATATTTAATTCGTCTTGAGGAATTATATATAAATAATTAACTGCCATACAGTCAGAATCAATATATTTTTGTACAAGTGATATTTGTAGACTGTTATCCTTATCTGTTAACTTTATACCACATATTGTACCATCAAAATATCCAACAACAATCAGATGTTCATTGATCTTAATAGTGATCCAACATAATACATTAACCTTTGATACATGATCTAAATGTATTAATCCGAAAAATATAGGCTGTAAGTTTTTCGTAAAATCTGATATTTTGGGAATCTTCCAAATCACTATATCGCCATTACAATAGGCTACAGAAAAATATGCAAAGGAAGTATCTTTTGTTTTGAAAAATTTGCTCCATGTTATAGAGCAAGCTTGTAATTTCTTTACGCTCTCAACTATCCTTGCACTCTGGTTCTCATGAAAATTGGATTTATTCAGACCAGCTTTGATTTCATCTTCTATAATTTTTAGCCGAAGGGACAAAATATCACATATGGAATACCAATTATTAGAAACTTTATGCAACAATTCAACTGCACCTGCTGAATTTAATATCGCTAATATGCACTGCCTAGGAGAGATTAAATTTTTAGGGGACCATGATACCTTTATTATTTTAGGAAACTTGTCAATTACTCCATCTAATTTTGGTGTAATAACATCATCCATAAGAAGTGAATAAATCTCTTCACGTATCATATTCCATATTGAGGAATCTATCTCGCTTTTAAATGCATATGCTGGCAAAGTGTCTGAATGATATATGAAAGAACGGGAAAACTTGAAAAATGGATTTGGCGACATAGGCGAAGGTTGTAACTCCTGTAAAACAATATTGGATCCAAGTTAGGTTGTTAAGTTATAAAGTTGTATTTAGACAATTATACTGATTTATAATGAGTTGGTAATCCTAAATCTTATCAGTGAAGTTGACCAACAGTTAACTTATACAACTAATGAGCTTTCTATAATAAATCATTACTTAAGCAATGGATTTTCTACAATAAGTTATCTAAATTTTAAGTCAAATCATAAGAAATTAATCAATCACGATCAAATGTGACAAAAATAATCGATTATGATTAGTCAATTTCTTGTAGCTTAAATTTCTTAAAGCTAAGACTTAAAGATAAGACTAACTGTAGAAAATTAGGACCGCTCAGGATGTCCTAGTACCAACTCGTTGCAGTACCCTGGTTAAGATTTCCAACTACCGACTCATTGTAGAATCAACTTTATATGTAAATATAAAAAATATCACAATATAAATATGATAAATCAAACGCTTAAATTGCGAGATCTTATCGCTCAATTTTCCTTTAGATATAAATACAATATTAAGGAAGATTTTAACTCCTTTGTGGTGTGAAATAATGATGAAAAAACATAACTTACGAGCACGTGTACACCCTTTTCCGTAATTATCGAAATGTGATTATCAGGTGACCATTGTATAGCGAATGGATTCACCACTAATGGAGAAATATTGATACTACAAAGTTCTTCTGTTTCCATAAAGGTACAATTTCACGTGCTACTAAAATAAGCAGTAATTATTCAGAGGATATCGATTATGCATCTTTGAAAGAGTGAAAATTACAAAAGTGAGTAAATTTACTAGGTGTTAACCAATGAAATTATAAATATTCTAGTGAATTTGATTTGATCACTTTTGTAATTTCGTCTCATTTCAATACACAATCGAATCCTAGTTTATCCCTCAAAAATTAATGAAATTAAGCTTACTCGATACGGTTTTACAAGAATCTGATAAAAAAAGCGTCTGCTCCGCAAACCGAAATGTTAATCGTTAAAGTTGACGATTATTCAGGTTAGGAAATCTGTCACGACAAAACAATACAACACTACGATGTGAGCAGAGCAGATGTGAACATGCACTGCCGCGCTGCGTTAGTGCGAACTTTCTCGTGACCGGCTACTTGAGAGATTGTTTTCCTTCTTTCTACTCCTAGACCTGTTCTTTTTGGTTGAACTTTTACACCAATTCATCTTTCTTCTTCTTTTTCTTTTTTCCTTTTGAAGAGAAAAGCAAGAAATGAACTAGTGCAAAAGTTTAACTAAAAAGAACAGGCCTCGTATTTTTCACAATGCAACCACGATGAACGATATCCAAATTACGTGCCGTAATTACATAAGAATTAATTAATAAAAGAGATTAAAACAAATGAATCGTTGATTGTATTTTGTTTTCTATCTCTTGTAATGCTAGTGTCCTGTGATTATAGCGAGCAATTTTTAAAAATATATTATCCGCATTTTTACAAATATCTTAACATTTACACTTTAAACAAACTATATGCATATGTGAAAGTTGTGCTTATAACATTCTATTTTTCTTGAATAACAGTTTTAAGTGATTAAATTCAGTTTCATTTATTATTTTGTTGTAAATTAAATTAACTTGAAAAAATAATGATAAAATTTTTCAATGTTTTTGTATAAGCACTTTAAGAATTCAAAATAATTAATGCAAACTTTTTTATTTAGAGATATTAATTCGACATTGCACCATAATATTGCACAATAGTTTTTTGCAAAAATATTATTTTATTTTTTATGCAATATTATCGTTTGTTTATTTTACAGTAATTTCAAGTGTATCAATATGCTCCGTGTATTAGTTATTCTCGATCTCATAATTTAATTTTCTTTATTACTATTAATGGCTTGAATATAAGATCTAACTATAACATATAATGATATTCATAATACTTAATATATAATGATAACATATAACTATAACATATAATGATATTCATTATATGTTATAGTTAGATCTTATATTCAAGACCATCTTAAGAAGTTACGAACCAATTAGACCGTATTAGCGTCTTAAAATATTACTTAAGACAGTCTTGAAATAAACATGAATACCGTCAATGTATAGTCTCTTCCGTTGTACACTTTTTCGAAATATGTGTGCGCGTTTATTGACAGCGATCCGAATTATGCATAAAGCGCATAAGATATCATTTTATCCTTTTTTATTCTTTGATGAACAACGAAGACAAATGATGCATCATATGTATTTATCGACCCGGCGGGTAAATCAGGCCGATAAGTCAGATTGCTACTGTGACTCTTCGAATTATTAATGGACATAATGTACATACATACCTCATATTGCATCAACATATTGGTCAGATAATGGTTATTTTATAAATGTAAAATCTATTAAAGAAGGCATTACATTTATAAAATGTAATCAATCGATTAATTTTCTAAATATATAAA